TATCGCGAATGTAGTGTTTCGATTTAAATGTTATGAATACCAGGAAAGGATTCAAATATTAGTGCCAACACCGCCCACCACCCACTGGACAGCACGCAACCACTCCACGAAAAACCGCTACTCACAGCCAGAAGCCGCTGAAAGCAGGATTGGGAGGCCATCGGGAGGTGGTGTAAAGGGGGCCATGATGGGGCGAAATTGGGCTGAAGGAAAATGGATCAACGATCGAGAGCGCAAGGAAATCACCCGCCATCGTTGCTAGCCAATTGCCTGGCAAAAGTCAAAAGTGGTAGTCGAAAACCAAGGTAGATGAACCCAAAACGAATGTGATGTAGTGAAAGATCGTTATTCGAAATAAAGTTATTACTCTGCACGAGTCTTGAGGCGTGAAACTCGATCAGTAGTGGAGGAGGAGCCAACCTACTGAAATATCCAGGTGAAAACCCCTTCAAGCCAAAACCCGAATTGTTCTCATCACTAACCGCCATCATGGTATCCTAATGTGCCCACAGGACCCCGTAGTTTACCGTTAACATTTATCTAAGGAGCGGTGAGACCCCGTAGTGTTCGTTGTGTTCGACCTACTGCGGTCAAACCCCAAAGCTATCGTGTAAATACAACCGTATTCCGATCCATCCAAGAACCAGCCGCGTTTACTAGTCCGTGTTCATCGCCATTGTGGATCTACCTTGAGCGTCGTGGACACGTTATACCGTTCGCGAACGGCTCGGCAAACGGTACCGTGGGAGCACCCGTAGGAGGAGGGGAGAGTGAAGTGTTAAGGGGTGAATCGTCTGGGCAACCCACAGTCGAAGCCGAGGGACGAAGAACAGAAGCAAAGGAAAGGAGTGAAAGTGAAGGTGAAGGTGTAGCGGAACGGAGGAGAAGGGGGCCCCCATCGACAACGGAAGACGACGGAAGAACTAGTGAAGGCTAAGGTAGGAGATAGCCGATAAGAAAGCGGGAAAGTTAGGGAAATAAACGAGACCTGTGTGAAAGTTCATCGGGGTGTGTTACGAGTATTTGAGTGTTTCCTTGGCCGCGATAGTCACACGTGTATGCCGACCCTGCGGCAGTGTAGAGGAGGGTCTCATTAGTGCTGGGCAGGGAGTACCCCAACTGTTACAACTTCAACAGCCAACTCGAATATGCCTGTGAGAAGGCTTCGAAGGCCATCAACACGATAGCTAGAATCATGCCGAACAACGCTGGTCCCAGCAGTAGCAAGAGGCGTCTTCTGGCCAGTGTATCGATACTGAGGTATGGAGGTCCAGTCTGGGTTGCAGCACTGCAAACGAAGCAGAACCAAAGGAAACTGAGCGGTACTTTCCGGCTCAAGGCCATGCGAGTCGTGAGTGCGTACAGAACAAAACAAGTGCGCAAACAAGTCAAATTGATGATGTATTTATACCTGAACAAGGCATTTTTACAGCAACAGCTCTTTTTTTTTTAATAAACAAATGCAGTAAAAGCAGCGTAATGTCAGTTCATGCACTATATTAATGATAATGTTGTCCTTTTTGGCAAGTAATATTACACCATATTTTGGACCCGATTGAAGTGCATCCACTTTGATGTGATATCCGTGATATCAAAATTAACTTTTTGCTGTGCTGCTTAGAGGACATCCATAAATGACGCAGTATTCTTTTGACCGATTATTAATGCCCCCCCTCTGCGTGTTTAACCTAATACATGGTCGGTCACAAAAAATCACGGACCACTCTATTTTCTCAAGTTGGTAAATTGAGCATTGCTATGTTAAAACAATTTCAGCTAAAAGTAAAAAAATAGTACTATTTCAAAACATTCCTCGAGGGAAATAATTCCACACACATCGCGTTTTTGTTTTAATCCCGTCGTTGTCATTCTACTTAATGAGATTACGTGAAATTATTTAATTTGCAACCAACCTACCAACCAACTCGACGTCGTAGAAAAACTCGTCCCTTCATACCATCCAATTTCATATGAGTTTTTACCTGCTTCTCCGTAGTTCTTCTTCTTCCGAGCAAGTAATGATAATTGTAGATAATCCTCGTCTGTGATCAGCAAAATGGTTTTATTGCCCCATTTCTGCTCCCCACTCGAAATTACGGGACATCCGTTTTAGCACTCTCCAGTCAACAAAAAAAAGGAGTAATGCGTGAAATGCTCCAGATGGAAATGAGCCGTTGAAGTGTAAAATCCCTCCCTCGGCACTCACTTGTCGTATATTTTTAAACCCTCCTACCAACATTCCACCTTTCGACGGCTCATCAACCGTTTTCAACAAAAACATTTAATTTCCTCCGAGCCCTTCTCTCGGCACATGGGACGATATGAGGTTTTTCGAAATACGTACGCGCCAAACTGCCTCCGGTGGATTGACTTTTCGCTCACTACCCCCAAAGGGGGGAAACCCCCTGGTTTGAACAGGCTTTCCAAGGGGAACACATTCTACGCCATTGAAACATATGTGCACTGCAACGTATTACGCTGCTGCTTGTAGAGATGTAGAAAGGATATGGAATGACACGTCCTCCGAGCAACGCCACCCTCTTCCTTCCAAAAGCACTTTCCCGATAATATGTGTAACATTTCTGCATAAACGTAATATATGTCTCTCTAGTGAGTAGCCCCCCCATCCCACTGCTGCTACTACCGAGTTTGACTTCCGACGATATTGCGCCTTTCGAAATGTGTATCACCGTACCTTGCATTGTTCAATCCGTTGCGTACCCGTCTTTTACTAGGCACATAGCCGACGACACGCCGCCGGATAGGAAATGAGGCCGCCTGGCCTGCCATTTCTCATCTCACTAGAGCTGCCACCATGAATATCATCTTGCACACGATGTTCCGTCGAAAGCGAGCGAATATTGGTAGAAGGAGTGCATGTATTCACATTCACAAAACACACATTCCAAGGGACAAGTAGCTGATAAATCTAGAACGACTAATCGATGCACGGAGGAAACATTTTAATGCTTAGGGACAACATTCTTATCACAGTTGGGAGGAAATGCCATACTAATATCAACATGAAGCGTTAGTGCGATAATTCATTAGCTAGAGAACGTTCTGAAGAGGGTAGAATGATAGTTCGATTAGAGTACGACAGTGTGAAAATTGCGTGCTGGGTAATTAATGCGACAATACTAATTAAATGCGCACTCCTTTACCTAACTCACACTTTGATGGGTGAGGGGATTTGAGATATTTCCTCAAATCCACAGACAAAACAGTGCGCGTTTGGCTTGCTTATATACTGTGGCTGTGGAATAATTTACTTATCTAACGGTACCCACAACAGAACTTTCTCTAGTTAATAAATTATCGCACTAAAGCTCCAAGTTGATATGATTGTGTGGCATTTTCGCCCAACTCTGTGATCATAAACTTCACGTATGAAGTAACAAAATGCTTTAGTTGAATGATTATCACGTTGCTAGCAACTGATAGATTTATCGTCATTCTGAGCCCTGAAGAAATTTCGTGTCAAGAACCGCAACGTCGGCGATGCCAGAAAATCAAGTTCCTTCAAAATTTCTCTCAGTGCCCACTTATTCAAAACTTTCAAACAAGAATGAACGCCATCGAAACCACCGCCGCCAGTCGCTAACAAGATAAATAGCATATTGAAGTAGTCAGCAAACAATAGAAAATATCCGCCTACGTCTATCCCGCTTCCCACTCCTTCGTCTTCCACCCCTTTGATCGACACATTCTCCAGTGAAAGGAAAACTTTCTGATTGCGACTAGAATATTGGGTTACGGTTTCGCGCCCAACCCGATTCCACTACACACACGACATACGCAATGCCCATAAATTATGGGAAATTTTTGATGAATGGCTGCGATGCGTGTGCAATTTTACCCATTCAAATGTCCCCGCTGGGATTAGATGCCCTACTCTCTCAACCATGAAAGACATGAAATAGGAATTAAACTTTGATGAAAACCTTCCAAAGAATCCATTAAATTTTGATCAACCACTCCTTCTCCAGTCTGAACAACAAACTTTAGCCTGCTTTGCTTCCACTTAATTAGTCCGAGCCGAACCCCTTCCAGGTTGGTCGATTTCAAATTGAAAGTTTTGCCATCCTGGGAAGACCGGATCTACTGATCCTGACATTACGAGCATACTTGGCTGTGGAGGAAACCTCACTGAACAGGAAATAACACATCACTTCTGGTTTGTCTGCTCTAGTACGTAGTAGGCTCTGATGCGCGAAAGGATTGAGCTTTGGCAACCGTAAACTTTTCGATAATTGATATTGAAGAAGGCAGAGTAGGCGCTTACCGCATCAAGGAAATCAATTAATACGTGGGTTTCCTCTTCGGATGGTCTTGAGCTGTCAGTCGTCCAGTAGTGCGAGAAAGGGGGAAATCGCTTGAAGGGAAAACTTTTCTCAACGCATTCTGATGGAAAATTATGCCGGGCCATTAGAATAAATTAAGACATCCTTCGGTCCGTAGGTTATGAAATTGAATAAACATAAACGGCATGCGGGAAAAGTTTTTCAATTTTTGAATAATTCAAGGGGAAAATTGATCCTTCATTTGATCACAAGAATGGTGATGGCGAAGCTGTGCAGAAGCACGGTACAGTTTACAATAAATATAGCCACTGATGCCATCTGCTGTTAGTAATTGATTTTATTTCAAGGATAATTTACTTGAGAGATGCGTCTTTAAGGTTACATAATTAATTTAAAAAAATCAAAATCAGTTTTGAAACCAAAATTACGTTAATGAAAATGTTAATGAAAATGTGCATTCTACTTGCCTACCAGAACACAGTGAACACATTTTCATTGACAGAATTTTGGTTTTAAACGAAAAAAACTGCTTTTGAATTTACAAAAAAATAATGACGTCCCCTTTCCCCTTAAGGCAATTTTAAAACTTTGAGCTCATGCGAAGCATGCGTATTGCAAAACATTTTCAATCGCTGGCTCGAACATTCAACCACTCAAGATTCCTCCCCATCTTCTCCTTGCCGGTCATGGTCGTCTTCATGTAGTCCCACTAGCAATCTTCATCGGAGTTGCCGTGACTATCGGTGCAGGGGTTACGGCTACCTTAATTGGATCAGCCGGCATCCAGCGATCCGGTACAGGTAGTCGCTCCGTTGGCTCCGGTATTCCACAGTACATGATGTTGATCAACAGCGCGTCGTACTTTGTTAACGTTGGACCCTGACCGAAGGTACCGTTCCACGGAATCAACGGTTCCATTGTCCTCAGCTTATCCGGTTTGACGGAAAACGAAGTGTTCAAGTAGTGCATGATGCTCCCAATATCGTAAGGCACGCTAAAGTTAGTCGTTTCACTTTCTTCGACTAACTGAAAGTTGAAGTACACCGCCGGAGTTGGGATCATGTGATCGTAGATGACATCGATGTAGTCATCGCGGTCCAGTCGGTTGTGTTCGTGGTGAAACCCAAGTGCGTGCATCAGCTCATGAATCGGGGTAGTCAAGGCGTTTGCACAGCCCGGTTGCAAATGAACCCGGGTTTTGCCACGTCCCCGACCAACGTCAGCCCAACAACCGTACTTTCTGTTGTCGATCGCCACGTACGCTTCCTCCGTAGTCCGTTGCTTGAACCGAACGCAGGTGTACTTTTGAAACTCGCGCATCGCTCCGTAGATCATAAGCAGCTCGGTGCTATCTGCAGACCGCAAAAATGGTTATTTATATGAGAATAATTGATCAAAACAACTTACTAAAAGTTCCCTCAATGTCGTAGATTACGGTAGCATTCGGCCAACGGAAGTATGAACTTGAGTTTCCAACCAGTGCGTTGTGAAGCTTCGGCAGGGGAAGTGCCATATCGCCTCCAACCAGGTTTCCGAGCTGCCATGGCTGAATTCCCGATGATGGATCCAAATTCCTTATAAGTTTATCTGCATGTAATCTTCAGTGAGATTTCTGCACAACACGATTAAGGTCAACAATTACCAACACCCGGATCAATCCTCCGGTAGAGCGCCGTTCCATAGCTGGACAAATCAGCTACGCTAAACTTCGCTGCAACGTGGTGAATTACCACGGCTAACACAACTAACACGTACATCTTACATACAACTGAATTTCCTATAAATTCCTGTAAGGTGTCTTCAAACTTCAGTCCTTATCAATGAAGGCATTGTTCTGCGGAAGACGTTGTCATTCAGACGCAATAAAGAAAGTTTATTGCAACGATATCGAGTTCACTGAGATGATCTCGTTGGCCTATCGCAGTCACCATTGGATTTCTGGATGCTATGGTTACCAGTCGATGAGGATCCCTGCTGTACATAGACGGTCCATAGTGCATTATACTGTCAAAGTCATAGGGCAACGGGAATGCGGAATCCGTCCATGGATCGATGATTTCAAAGTTGAATAGAATCTCTGGATATTGAATTACATTTTCGTACATCACCTGAACGTACCGATCTCGGTCGGGACGGGTGTGCTGGTGCAGAAAGCCCAACGTATGCATGAACTCGTGAAGTGTCGTTCCATTAGTGGCAAAACATCCGGGACCAAGATTGAGTTGCTTTGAAGTATGAAAAGTGCTTGTTAAATTTCCGGGAATACAAACAAGGCATGCCATGAGCGTACTGATCTTTGTGACGACCGACCAGAGTCAGCCCAGCAACCGGAGTCCTCAGAAGTTATACGAACGTAGCCTGCTTCGTTCGTTCTTTCCTCAAACCGAACGCACGAAATGAAAGATATGCTATCCATGGCTTGTTTGATCATTTCGAGCTCTCTGCGGGCTGGGAAAATATTAACCACTTAATTAAAACTTGATTGAAAATGCTTATTGAAACTTACTGAATAGACCGTCGATTTGATAGACAACCGTTGCGTTAGGCCATTTGTAGTCAGTCGGCAAATAATTACGAACAGTATTTCCATATTTGAGTGATTTGTGCTCACAATCTGAATGAAGGATAACTTATTTTTAAGCGCTTAGTATGGTTTTTCTGCTACAATATATTCTGATCATACTTTCCACAAAACTAGCTTTCCAAATTATCAAAACGAGGATCAATCTCCAGTGGTTTCCTACAGCAGTGAATAAAACACCCATGTCAGAGCCAACATATCAATTCGACGAAGCGAATAAAACTTTTCCCTACCCGATGCTAAAGCTACTGCCTACTGATCCGGTAACTTTGAGCAACTAAGCTCCCGTTCTCCCACTTTTCCTTTACAGGCCAGAAAAGTTTCCCAAAATGAGAACTCAAAAACGACCGAAACAACATTTCATCAACAGATAGACAGACTATTTACCTTTTAGCCACAAACATATGCGATATTCCCGCATACGGACAGTGGAGCTCTAATTCATTCCGGCTAAATAAACTTCAAACAGAGTAAAACTTTGTAGCTTCGTACCATCGTCGTCAGCAGTACAGATGTCGGTTACAGATAAATAAATGAATACCTTCACGTGGTAAGGTCTTAATGTTAGCCGGTTCGTACTTTGTGCATATGTGTTTTGAACGATATGGCTTCGGATAAGCTTTTTACAACTGTCAGCATCAGATGATATGAATTATGCTTTTTGGATTGGATTATTTATCGGTGTGTTATTAAATACCATTCTGTCAGGAAAAAAATCTTGCATGCTGAAATTGATTACTTGACAGTAGGAAAGGAAAACGTTACGATAAGCAATAAATTTATTCGAGTTTTCACAAATTCATTGGAAACTTTTGCAAGGCCCTTAATTTATTTGAAATCTGGGTTATTGGAATTTATGCTATATTCGTAGTTTGAGTTTTCGTTCCAGCTTCTTGAAAACTTCTCCAAGTTTGATTTCATTAGGTCAAAGATTTAAAAAAAATAGTATAAGTTTAAAATCTGTACCAATTATCCATGTTTCAGAATCTATAAGAAGATCTGCAAAATGAATTATCAGAGAATTGTGCACAGCTCGAAAAAGTAGTGTAAATTTCTGTTCAATATGATGCACATAAATGGAGCGTCACATATCATTATTGTTATATGTGTGTGTTATTTCAACCAGGGAATTTTGAAAAGTAGGTTCATTGGAATCGTTAAATCTATTTTTGTCGTCTATTATTACGTCTTTGATTTCTATATGGGGGTACACTTTGTGAAAACCGAAAATAGAACATTTAACAAATTAAGAAAGATTTTGAACGTTAATAACTCAGCTGCCCCTGGTCCAATTTCAATAATTTTATCACCAATCGATCAGAAATATGGCTACGCATAGATAACAATGCTTCCGAATGTTGATTTTCAACAAGAAACTATTGAAAAACTGATAAATGTCCAGCATTGTCCAAAAAGCGTCGAATTAACTAACAAATCCACCAATTACCTACATGCATATGCTGCTTCCCCAGCACAGTCGTCAGAGAGTAGTAAGTAGACGAAACAAGTCGAAGTGGCATTCGCCTCCAATCCTCGGGCGCGTGCGAATAGGGAGGATAGAATTGCGTAATATTTTGCACACTCATCGCCATAACTACCATCCGTCGTCTGGCTCGCCGTGGCGGTGTCTGACGTATCTCCGGTCTGATTTACGAGGTGTGCTGAAAAATGAGATCCTGAAAAATGAGATCCGTGATGCTGTCACCAACTCTAAACACGCCAAGCGTAAGCGGCCATGGAAGTCATCTACGTTTTGAAGTGACAGAGACGCACTCTGTTTGGTTTCGGAGGTTAAATCATTACCAACTTTGGCAACAAAACGGCTCTTTTCAGGGCCACCAAGCCACCAGTAAAGAGTAGGAATAGAATTCATCTGCCTGTTTTCCATATTCAGAACCAACGATCACACAAAATGCTCATGTAATCAAATTGGAAAGCAGGGGTACAAATTATTTTGATCAACCTTGATCAACTTTGAATCGCCACGTCCGGATATTTTCGATGGAAGAAGCAACAATCTAGCATCTAATTCGACGAAGACGGCAGGAAACATTCGTGAAGCCGAGTTATTTACGAAAGAGAGTGTCGATGAAGAGAATCGATCAATGTAGATAGGACCTATTGGAAAGTGACGCGAGATTTGTTTTCCGTACTGAGCTCCAATGCTACCGACGCCAGGGAGGCAGCTCCCACATCTGGACCCTACCAATCGACCCATCAAATCAACCGGGGACCAACGGCTTTACTTCCCGAAGGAAGGCGTGATCAGAGATGTTAAGCCTTAGAACAAACATGCCGGTGGCGCCGACTGAGATTGGACCCAGGCCTGCTGGGGTAAGAGGTAATCACGCTAACCACCGGTGCCGATATCTTTCAAGGTGATATCACGGCGAATGAGGATGACCCAAATTTGAGTTTAGTTATCTCAGAAATAAGAAATAAAGTGCAGGAACTCAGCGATGAGTAAATTTGCCTCATGTTTTCCCAGGATTTTCCAGGGAAAAATTCCCGAATTTGAGAAAAGTTAAGATTGGATTCACTCAGTCTATTGGTACTACTCCGAGACTGAATAAAATTTTCGTCAATTTCCACATTTTCTGGCAGATTTTTTAGGTTTTACCACAGGAAACCATGAGACAAATTTACTCATCGCTGAGTTCCTGCAGTTTTGGCGATTATGAGTGAACTAAACTCAAATTTAGGTCGGTCTCATTCGCCGTGTACACAAAAGGAACAAGGAGCCAGTGTCGCTACTTGATAGCAAACTACTCATAATGGAAGGAGTCTTTGTAGCTTTTATACCACTTGGTTGCACATCATTCTGCTTTAACCTGAAAAGATATAAAAGAGCACTGCTGTATGGCATCAAACACTTGAGTTCCAGATTCTACAACCATCTGGCACTGATGATTTTTAATCAGTGCCTCAGACTTGGCTACTTCCCCTCGTGTTGGAAGTCAGTTAAAGTCATATCCATCCGGAAACCTGGGAAGGATCCGTCCTCTCCTTCAAGTTATCGACCAATCAGCCTTCTCTCAGGGTTATCAAAACTGTTCGAAAGTGCACTGTACCACCGGCTCCTAACATCTGCCGATGAAAAAAAATTGTTACTCGAGGAACAGTTTGGTTTTCGGAAAGGTTGTTCGACTGTCCACCAGCTGACTCGAGTAACAAACATTCTCAGACGGAACAAGTCTGTTTCGAAAACATCTGCCATGGCGTTGTTGGACGTTGAAAAAGCATTCGACAATGTCTGGCATGATGGCCTGGTGTTCAAATTGCAGCAGTACGGTCTTCCAATCTTTCTAGTAAAGATCATAAACAACTATCTATCAGACAGGACGTTCCGAGTCTCTCTAAATGGCATCTCATCGGATGCTTTCAACAACGGTGCCGGGGTTCCACAAGGAAGCATCCTTGGCCCCATCCTATTCAACCTGTTCACCTCCGATATGCCGGCTCTCCCTGATGGTGGATCGTTGTCTCTGTTCGCAGATGACACATCCATCGTCTACAAGGGTAGGGCTCTGACTGCCAAACTTCAGAGAGGCCTGGACGTCCTGTCTGAATATTTCAACAGCTGGAAGATCCGTATCAACGCTGCAAAGACCCAGGTCATTATATTTCCACACTCTAAATCTCCTAGACTTGTTCCGTCAGAGAATAACAAGATCTGCCTGAACGGCACAGTGGCGGAATGGTCCACCAGAGGTCGTGTACCGCGGGCTAACACTAGACAGCAAGCTTCTTTTCAGGGAGCACGTTGACAAAACAAAAACTAAGTGCAACATCTTGATAAGATCGTTGTATCCACTTATCAACAGGAAGTCAACCCTGTCCCTGAAAAATAGGCTTGCTGTCTACAAACAAATAATCCTTCCTGTAATCGAGTACGGTATGCCAATCTGGGAGAGTTGCGCAAAATGCCATCACCTTAAACTCCAAAGGATCCAGAACAAGATCCTTAGGATGGTCCTAAACAGTCCCCCGCGGACTACAAATTCTGAGATCCTTAGAGACGCCTCGGCAAACACTAAGTAATTGTAGGGACATCAAATTACAACGACTTTCATATCTAGAGAGATTGAAATAATCACTCCAGGGTAGCCAACGAAGGGCGAAACGTACAAATCTTCACTGAATGGCCTCAATACGATTCACCCCGTTGCTGTAAAAAGGAGCCCATACTACGGAACAGTACTCTAATTAGTTGTACTTATTAGTACTCTAATGTGGAGCGAACTAGCGAACAATAGTGTGTTTTTAAACAGAAAATGTCCCTAAAGTCTTTGGTGAAACGAAAAATGAAACCAAGTTGAGAAGACACCTTATCGGAATCATAAGCCACATGCTCCTTGAAGGTGAGTTGTGAATCAAGTAGGTCTTTAATGGTAGATTCACGGCTTAATATTTGCTCCTGCAGGCTGTAAGCATAACAGATAGGTGATTTTTTCCTGGAAAACGTTATAATGGCATATTTAGAAGCATTTCATACCATCCTATTCTTGTCGCACCAAATAGTAAAAACGTCCAGCTGCTGCTGAAGAAACAATGCATCACTTCGATCTTTGATGACAAAGTATAGTTTAAAATCGTCAGCATACAACAGTCTTTTTTTTTTTTTTTTTTATATTAATTTATTTGTACAGGCTCAATCGAATAAACTTTACAGAGCCGAGTTATCATTTGCATTATACATGATTCATGTCTTAAATTTAGAGTTAAAGGAATTGAACCGATTACTCGCGGTCGTCTCGAGGTTAGTGGAGATTTACAATTTTTTGGATGGGGAAAGGGAGAAGGAGGTTTGAAATATGATTTATTATACAAATATTTAATTAATCCTAAAACATGAACTTATTTCTATTCATCTTGAAGACAAACATTAAAAAAAAACTACACGCACAATACACAAACTAAACACAAGGTTAATCAAACTTACAATCTAAGGTTAGTATTCTTAAAG